TGGGATTAAAGATAGCTATCAAATCCAGGAGTATTAGATCTCGTTTTGAGATGAAATTGAAGATTAAGTAAGAAATCGATGATTTAATAGAAAGATAAAGAAAATGATGCATTAAATTTTCAATTAATGACTTGCTTATATATGAAATGGGCAAGTTTAAGCAATCTTAATCTACATGTTCATCAATGGTTAGCAAGTATTTTGAATGTTATTTAATATTATGCACATTGAGTAAAGTTTTATAAGTATGTTATTTTAGTATTTTTAAAAGAATTTATTAATTATTGCTGGGGTTGGTGACTATTAAATGAGTTTTGCTATATTTTTACTGCCAGCCAAATCATTACACCATTAAAATATTAAAAGCAAGCAATATTTTGTTTGAAAATGATATTTCACCACCATCTCTATTGATTGAAAATAAGATTATACTTTTGAAATGCTAAACACTACACTATTTACAACAATGAATTTTGGGTTGCAAATAGTTTTTAACGCAATTAAATAAAATTAGAAATATTACAAATTAATATTCGAAGTAGTATGGCTAACTAAATCTATTATGTCTTGTTTCACTAGTAATATTTAGATACTTTTAACGAATTTTCAATTCCTATGTATAATCAAAAGACGTACAAGATGAATGTAGAAACTATAATATTTTGAGTTTTTTGTTTAAAGCTTATAAAACTACTTATATCTAAGTTGATTGACATATCATCCCTTAATTTTACACTCTACTGCGTTCTTAGTAGATTTTAATCCAATCCAAGATTTTAAAAACATGTTTGATTCTAAAAAATAGAAAACTACTACCTTAAAATATAATTAACGGACAATTTCTTCAAACCATTAAGCAGGCAAGGCACTATTTAAAATATGATGATATTAAACCAAAAGTATCAAAAAGTATATGCATTCGGATATGTTTAAGACCGAAGACTTCTTTGAGCATGCAAGAATTAGTTTTCTAGTCAATTGCAGCTCATTAATAGGACTACTAGTCTCTAGAGAAGTGATCAAATTATGAGCAAATAAACCAATACTTTTTATTGGTATTCTTAGCTTTGATTGGCATGTCCAATGGTAAAAAAATGTATTATTGATACAGAAGTACCCCCAACATGACCAATAGCGACACTCCAAAGGTTGAATCCGAAGGTATCGGTAAATTCAGGTGTTATAAATATATAGCCATAAACATAGCACTCATAGGTCTCCTTCTTGTATATACCGAACTTTTCATAGGAGAAACTGTATTGGACCAAATGGTCGTACTAGGATTAACTATCGTTATTGCATTTATCCCACTAATCAATACATTCTTCAACACAACTAAATTGCTCAATCAAGGATCAACTCTCCTAGCATTCATCATGTGTTTCATTCTTTACTATCTCAGAATTAAGCTTATATTATTTAGTGTCTACAATAACGCGCTACTTACAAAAGAGGATGGAAGAATAGTTCTCAGATCAATATCTCCAAATGGTATTGCATTAATTTTAAATTCAAGTGCTTCAGAACTAGATTTAATATTAAAGGAAGTAAGTACAGAATTTGGAAATAATGAAGTTGTAATCAACGATTTTACATCAATCAAAGAAGCTGGACCCGTAAAAATTAAAATACCCACAGAACTAGAAAGTAAAACTATATCTAAAGTTTATGAGCGCCTTAGATTGGGCAAATCGGGTCAGGTTTATGTTTCTTCAATCAAATTTAAGAACCCAAATGATGCATTCAAATATTCTCAAATATTAGGAAAGGCTAAAGAACCCACCAAGTCAGAAAATGAATCTGAATAAAGACAGTTTTATCATCAATACTTTCTTAGTTTTTGAAATCTTAGATGTTATTTATTTTTAATCAGAGCG